TGTATGAATGTATGAATGTATGAATGTATGAATGTATGAATGTATGAATGTATGAATGTATGAATGTATCTATGATGTATGCATATATGTATGTGTGTATGCGCGTGTGTCTTTTCCTATTTATATTTGGGTGGATGTTAGATGGACACTGGCGCGCCTAGCTCTTGTCGTCTCTTGAGTGTGTTTCTTTTAGACTTGATTGCATTCCTGTCCATTCGGTCTGGAATCGGCGTGGATCAACGCCCTGTAATGCTGTTGGTTGTTGGCGCCTATGACGGTACCGGAGTGTGGCGCGGGGTGTGTGTGGCCTGTAGTTTGGACATTACTGGTCCGGTTGGTTGGATTGCCTCTGGCCTGGCGTCGAGATCCTCTTCCGTCCACGCGCTGACCATCAGCCTCGCTTTTTCCTGTCGGTCGGTCGGTCTGACCTGCAGTCAGGAGGTATGCGCATGCCCGACCTCACTCTATCACTCGGCTTTGCTGCCTCTTCTCAGTGCCCCGGGTTCGTCCCCTCTTGCTTGCTGGCCACGTGTCCCGGTCGTCCGGACAGAGCGACGGATAGGCAGTCATCCAACGTTGTCTACAACTCTCTGCCTGGCAGCGCCTGGCCCGTTCGTTGCAAAATTCACTCGAAGAAGAGAGGAAATCATGCCGGACTCCCCATACCGGTCCCTGGCTCTGCCGTCTTATCACGCTTTCACCATCAGAAGGCCTATGAAGGAGGACTTTCAGCCCACCCGTGTTCACATCTTTGCCTGCCTCGCACCATCACATTAATCTCTCCCCCTTCTCGCCCTTGAATCGGGTCTCTAGCAATTCCCATACGCTATCTCCATCTCCATCGTTCTGGTAGCTATCTCAAATCGCAGATTTCAGCCTATCTCTCTCCACGCTGGACTGGCATTAAGCAATTTAATTGCAGAGTTGCCGTCCTCCTTTACTGTCTTTTACCGTAGTTACGCTATAACGTTTACATTTAATTCATCTAATTCACACTCTTTTGGCGTCTAACGATCTGTCCGTGCGAACTCTTGTTTATTTTGGAGGCTCAGGTAATAGAAGTAATCAAAATATAAAGAGGATTGAGGTTTCAAAAACTACCCATCTTGCATCTTTAGTGACGTTTTAAGAGCCGATTGAAAACAATTCGTAACATTGTTTTGAGGACTTTTATTTTGTATGAAAGTTCATCATAAAGAGGCTCATGTTTACATCTCATCAGAAGACGAGGACTGGTCAGCGTTGTTCTGAGGTCATTTAGTGCTCAGATTGCTGCAGTCCACGAGACATGTTTCCTTGTTTCATCCTCCATACGGTAGAGATCGTAAGAGATTGAACGCATTTTTGTAGAAACTATAAGTTGGCACTGAGTCAAGAAGACTATTCGGCTCTAACCTTCATGTTGTATATGTATATAATCGGAACAGGAAAACGAAGATATTTGAATATGGATACACAAGAAACGATTTGGGTAATTCTCTTTCCCGTTATTCAGTGAAGTCATACTTGAATTTGTGTTTGTATCTGTGCGCAAGTATCTTACAGTCTGCACGTGTGTAAAGAAAATACATGATTAGGAGTGCGTAATCCCGAAAGTATCTCTGATTGAGATGGTGAGATGTTATCAAGCCATCAGTCATAACCCATCCATCTAGGGTCAATAAAACTCATTCACCCAAGGAAAGGTATAACTGAGATTGCGTAATCTCGTACGTCTAGTTGGGTCAATGAGCTTAATAGAATTGTTGAATAATTGCCAAGATGGTAGGAACCATCATCGAGCGGACAAGTTGGGCCGCTTTCTTTGGGTCGGCGGTTTAACACACGCACACCCACAAACGCACTCTCATTCTTTCTCCTTCAGTTTATCATTCAAGCATATGTAGTTCTTATTCGGTATCTGGAACCGATTGCAAAGACATTGGAAAAAGCAGCGATTGTTGTGAACACTTTTATTTGGTATGAAAGTAGTTTGATCTTGAGTTCTACTAAAACCTTTTGGCTTTAATATAGTTTTCAGGTTAACCCAGTCCAAGAGACATTCTCCTTCCGTTCTATATCCATATTTTTTCCTTCTTATGTGTGAGCACACAAGTCATGTAAGGCAGGTGAGGATAGTCTCCATGACTTAGTGCTGCTACCTCAAGACTTTGCAAAAAGGAGTCTCAGATCTGACGACGTCTGTCCAATAGATTTATGTACAAAAGCTTAGTACGTTTGTCTCCGAAACGAGTGACGATATTTCGTAGACTGTGTCAAATCTATTGTCTTATTAGCTCCAAATAGCTGCAGATCAGCGGTAATCCACAATCTTTTCTGGTGAGATTGGCCCTCAAACTCATACATTATTATCTTTCATACGATAGGAAAGTCTTATTAAAAATGATAAACAAAATACTCTTTTATATGTAAGTTATCGTAATTTGGCCGGACCAGACGCAGAATAACACTCAACTAGTATTTGCCAGCATATTATAATGTGATAAGCCTCATCAGCAATTTCCCTTCTTATGCGTACGTGTGAATTCTAAATGAAGTTTCCCATTGAGTTATTACAGGAAGAAGCTGTGAATGTGATCCAAACTGTTTTCTGCAATTATAACTCTGGTACAGATACGCATGTACCCTATGCCTTGATACTTGTTAAGCATAGTTGTTCGCTCTTCCGATTTCTGTCACTGCAGGACATACGACAGCGCAACATGGAAGCATCTAGCTCTTGAATGCTTACGCCAAGGATTTAGTTAAACAACCCCATGACCGCAACTACAAGGCAGTCCTCCTTAGATTCCTGATGACGCCAACTTATGAATCCATTCCACCTGCCCTTTCAAACAAAGACGCAGAGTTTATACTTATAATTATCGAGACTTTCAGTAGATCATATATATTATATGTTTTCACCCTATTTCCCTGAGGTGAGGAAAACTTGGTGTTTGAAATTTCCCAAAATAAATTTTGCATAGGCAACTGATTAAAACTGGGTGAGGAAGAAACTGTAGTCCAGTCCAGCCTGGATGAGTTAACACTTTATGAAGGAAGGCCTTGAAATTCCATGTAAACATGAGTCCGATTCATATCCCTGTGTGAAAATTCAAATACCATTTCACCATTATCTCAGCAAGAATGCAAACTTTGGCGAAAATACAGAGATTTTGGAGAACGTGAGTAGAATGACATCCAAAGAACGCCGCAGCTGTACACCGAGATCTGAGCCCCACACACTCAGATTAAACTTCCCAATTATCCGAGCCTGTCTACGAGGCAGCGCACCTCAAAAATGCGTAGTTGTTATGGCAGATGAAGTTCTTCACATCACTTGCTGCTCTCCGCCCCCAGTCTCGTCATAAGGAGGCCAGAAAAACCAGTTAACAGCAGCGGCTTCAGTCATCCCGTAAGCCATTCAGGCTGACTTTGCAGCCTCCCGGCTTCAGACCGTAAGTCCGGCGGCTGGCGAAATGGCGGGGTTAGGCCATGTTGGTACCTGCCTAGACTCGGGACAAAGAGCGGGAGTAGAGAAAAATAACGAAATGAAGAGAAAAATGAGTCGTGTTGACGGCATAAACGGGCGTTTTGACAATTCCAGTCGAAAAGTTGACATGCTGGTAGGCGGCCGGATTGCCAGAGAGACCGTCTTGTCAAGGCGGTCCACTAAACCAAATTTGACGTACTGGCGCCTGTAAATAGCCACATGGACGACACGAGACCACGGTCCCAGGCGCAAGCAGAAGGGACTGGCGTGCGTCGTGCTCAGAGGAAGGGAGCACTTGTAAGTCAAGAAGTCGCCCGGAAGAGACAAAGTAGCCGCCCGACTGAGCTTGAGTAAGCAGACATGTTGTGACAATTCCTGGAGGACGAAGGAGCATTTCGTCAGGACCGAAAGTGGGAGATAAGATAATTTGTTCCTTGGCCTCAGTAGAAACGGAGGTAGGATGGCAGAGCAGTTCACAGTCCCCAGAGTATCATCTTCAGTTCTCAGCTGAATCGTCACAAACTTTCAACCGTCTTCAGAGTTAGTTCATTCTTGTTGCTGCCAGTACGGACTTGATTTCGACTGGAAAATCTGGGTTTGATTAATCTCTCAGATTAGGGCCTAAAGTAGTCACACTTTCTACATATCTGATTTCACACTGAAATTTCACGGCCTCAGTTTTATCTGTTTTCTGCATTGCGCAATCATGGCAATGTTTCTTCCTTGGTCGGTAACTTTTATGAATTCTTGTGCCCCTCACACACGGACCTGCACATAAACACAGACAGGTACATGTACATGCGCATAGTTATACATAAACATACATTGACCACATCATTCCGTTCTGTTGAGTTGGCTATTTTTCTCTCATTGCTGGCTTCAAGCTCTTACTTACTGCACATTTTACAAGATGCAAGGTGTGTCCCTGAACAGCCCTCGCAAATAGCCTAAAATGCGGTTGCGACTTCGGCAAGTGAACAACAACCGATTGGATGGCATCAAAACAAGCCGACCTTAGGAACTTTGCCATCATTAGGCAGGTTAATGGGAACATTATTTGGAGAACGGGAATCTACTGATGCTTTGGCCAGACAGGAAATTATACACAATGCACTCTAC